TATACCATCTGTTAATAAATAACTAATGAAATTTATTAAATAAGATTTCCATGACTTATATTCTTAATCTAAACAACATAATTTATACATTTAGTAACATATTACATATATCCTAATGAAAGTTGTATATCAACCTTTAAAACCTAGATAGATATAATATGTGCAAACTTAATTCATGGCTGCCCCAAGTGTAAATCCTCCAATGATCATAGCTTTATGTACGAAAAAACATACAACAATTAGTAACCAACTCAATTATAAAAAAATATAATACAAAAATAACAAACTTATTACATTTATTTTACTTGTTAAAGCAATAAACATCCTCCAACTTGCTTTGATTTCTCAAAATTAGCTTGACATAAATGCTTATACAAACATGTAAGGACACTTAAAGCCCAACTATATAGTTGAATGGATTAGACCAAAAATCATCAGCAATGGTAGGTAAAATAAGAACATATGCGTCCCATTGAGTTCCGCAAAAAGTATATTATCAAATATATGAAGTATCACAATAAAACATTGAATTCAAATCGATATATAGACAATTGACTATGATAATTAAACTATTAGTATGCATTAACATACCATTTTAGGATCTTGTCATCATAATTATCAGGTAAATTAGAAAAGTTTTTCCAAATCCATCTCATATATAAATTGTTCCCTTTGAAGATTTTAGGAGGAGGGTGCTTGTCGAAATGCATACTCGTATAAAGTTATCTTATTCTACATACCTAGGATAATACATGCCCACCCATCTATAAGCAAGCCAAGTAGAACAACAATGTCTTATAACGCAGGTGTCATCTCGTTAACACAAAAGTGGAACGTATGAGTCTCTCATCTCTATCTCTCAATGAGTGTCATGAGTAAATCATGATCCATCTTTATATGCTACAAACATGTGATGTAATAAAAGCTCATCTGCATGATGTATGGAATCATTGGATTTGGAAACGACATCAACTTATGAAATTTACTATAAATTTTATCTAAATCCTTCATAATAAAAGAAAAAAGTCTGATGTATTAACATGTATTAAAAATTTGACGTGTTAACATGAATTAGCACAATAATTGATCATCTTTGTCAAATGAGAAAAAAAAAAACATGCATTCCCATTCCTATCACCTTTGATCTTTGTGACTCCTCCAACCATAGAATAAATGGATCAATTAGTCCAGGATCCATGTACTAAGGAACTCTATGAGAAGATAAAGATGACGCGCCTCGTATATGAGACATCCTAACCAAGTGTACTTATAAAATACAAAATTTAATTCAAAATTAGAAAATAAATATTATAAATAAACAATTAAAATTAAATTACAAATAATAATAATAATAAATAGACATGTAATTATCTAATTTATTACATATATTGTTTGTATTCATAAGTTTTTTTTTTGTTATGCCCTAGCTGACCATATATGCCATATCTATGTTCCAAATGCCCTTTCTCACGTTCATCTCATTATACAATCAAGGTGACTTTTGTTGACTCCAAACAATTTTCTATCTTGAAGGTTCCAAGTATGCTTGAGAACCATTATACTCATTCCACTTTACTTCATTAAGAAAGGGATTGAATGGAGGCCTACGTGTGTTCTTATATATTTGATCACTATAATACTAATAAATAAATTAGGTAATATCATGATGTCTTTCTACATAACATGTAAGAACATAAGAACAAGGTTGATGACAACTCTTTTATTTATCATGGGAGCATGTTTTATTCATCAACTTAACTATTTATCTTTTTTTTTTCAACACCTAGTTTATAAGGGGTGTGAACCTAAAAAGTGTCATCATTAATATTGAAAAGTACTATAGCATGATCTCTATATCTAAGTATGTTGGCATCCAATTTCAATTGAACAACAAAAGGCCATAATTTTCCTTATGCAATATAGTCATATGCATAATCTTTTTGCTTATCAAAATAGGCATTAGTCCTAAAAACTATCAATTGGACTAAAGTCGAAACATGCAAAGCATATGAACCTTTCAAAATATGATTAAAAGATTCAGAAAGGTTTGTTGTTATATTTTCATACCGGTGACCCCTATCATAAGAAAGTACCTATCTTTTTTTCAGTTCCCATTCAAACCATTCTTTTCACTCTGAATGGCTATTAACCATATCATCAAACCATTCATTAAGTTTGTGTTTCAAAGATTCATAACACATCCTAAGCAACTCTTTTTTGGCTAACAAATATTTGAATTTGTGATTAAAGTTGCTTGTCAGGTGTCTAACACAATATCAATGATATCTAATTTGTATAGGCTAAATTGCTATCATTTCATGCTTAATACCAGCATACCTATTTGATATAATACATATACCACAACGATCACATGTAATATGATGTTGAATGAGTTGTAAAAACCAACTCCATTTGACATTATTTTATGTCAACTAGTGTATAAGCCAAAAAAAAAAAATCCAATTGTTTACATCAAAAGTAACTTTAACCAACAACTTTCCATTGACCTTCCATATAGATAGGTGTCATTCACACTAATAATTAGCCTACGGGACTTGAACCCTTCAATTGCAGGATCAAATACCTATAAAACACTACCAAGAACAACTGTTTTACTATAAAGATGTCCATTATTTTTCCACTTAACAATTGTTCCAAGATTTTATTCTTGTAAAGCCACAAACAATCTAGGTAACATCTTAAATGAGTCCTCATGTGTTTTAAAAAGTTTCTTAATTATCTTTTGTTTTTGCAGCCCATGTGTTATAGTAACAAGTTTTGAACTTATAGTGCAATTTAATCACTTCTTTTATGTTGAAAACAATATATACAAGGTTATCTTGGATAAGAGTTACAACTGTTGATACAATAAATTTAGTATAAAGTTGATGATGATTTTTTTATGTATGTAATAGTGCATATGTGTTTACCTTTTAATTTTGCTATCTCAAGAAATCTGATCTTTTATGGTATCCCCTATGTAAGTACCATTGATATTTAGGTGTATAAACACATTATAGTTGAACAAATGCTTGGTTTGAATGTTGAACACGGTATTCAAGTGATTGTGCAATATGTCATTGCTTGACAATATTCATAAAATCATCTTTAGTTCTGAAATTTTGTTCACTACCAATTGATTTTTTAATGAAAAATAGACCAATCATTATAAACCATGTCATTAACTTTAGTATCATGACAAAATTCTGGAACCGGAGGCTTTATCATACCATCACCATCACCATCACCATCACCATCTTATATTTCTACTAAACTCCTAACACCCTTATTTTCATTATCATTAGAATCAAAGGAATCATACCTATGCTGATCATAATATGCATTTTTAATCCTATTTTCATCACAAATTTCGATAATCCTATCTTCCAATATCCCAGATGTACCAACACCAACTGAATGTGATAATTGTCTAAATGACCAAGCAAATATGGGTATAGATATATTAGTATCTCTATACTCCACATTATATGAGCTACTACATTTAGGTTGGCTACTCACATATAACTCTATAATGTTCATTCCACTTTAGACAAGCATTTCTATCATATTTCTAAAATCAACATCATAAACAATCAGTATTGGAAAATATTGATGTTTCCTAACAAAACACCTCTAAGTGATATATATTTCAATATCATTATAATTCAATTCAAATCTTCCATATATAACTTTTTTGGTTTTTTCAAATGACATGATTCTAGTACCATTCAAGAATATAGTACTTCTACCAATATAAGTGATAATATTATTCATATAAGGAATAATAGAACCATATAATGACACAACATAAAGAAGTTTGAAGACATTCTGTTAAAAAAAATACTCATTTTATCAAAAACAAATTATCTCATAATTTGACATCAAGACAAATTGCTATTATGTAAACCATAATAATAGCAATAAAACTATAATTAATTGTAAAAATTCAATTATGATAGTTTTTACAACATATCAACTGAACAATTTTTATAATTAAAAATTAAATTATGATAATTGAATATCAATTAAAAAGTAAATGATCTCAATTGAACAAAATCTACAATTATGGTAATTTATACAAAAATTCAATGCAAATTCTAATTGCTTCGATTTCTACCATAACTTTTATTAATAAAATCAATTGATTAAAAGCCTATCTAATTGCATCAATTAAAATAAAATTTATATCAATTTAAACAATATAATTAAATATGATAATCAATTCAATCATCAATTTAAGCTCTAATTTCTTTAATTCAAGTCTAATTGATTTCATAAATAATATCAATTATATTAACAATACATAACTGTAACATTCAAAACTTAAAATAATTTAATTATCAAACACAATAAAAATTTTTAATTATCAAACACAACACAAATACCAGATTAAATCAAAACATAAAATTTATTAATTCAATAATTAAACTCATCAAATTAACAAATAATAAAAATATTTTACCTTTTTTTTATGATGTATAGGTAACCGATGGTTACGATAATTTAGTTGTATATACAAGTTTAGCTAATGATTTGTAACAAAAAAAAATAGTAAAAATACTCGTAAAGATAATGAGAAAATGATTCTAGTATTTTAACAAAGGATTGAACAATACTTTAAATAATTTGGAGATTGTTTTCTCTTGAATTTTTTTGAGTTTAAAGTTCTATTTCTTTAAGGAGTGGCGGCCATAGATTAAAAAAAACCAGAAGGTTATATATTTATATATCTACTGTAACTATGATTCATAATCACAATTTTTTTTTTAATAAAACTACTATTTTAAGTCGGGGTTATTAAAAAACCACTATTATAAATAACAATTCTTTAACCACCACAATTCCTGTAAACTTTTAGAAAATGTGTCCTTTCCTTGTAACTTTTTTGAAACTGGGTTACAAACTGTCGACAAAAATGCATCCATTGGCAGAGAAAAGTTCACGGTGGTTGCCAACAAGGATGGGACATTGCTTAGAGAATGTAACGTGTTCCCTTAATTTGCTCTTCCTTCGCCGCCGCGGGAGGTGGGGGGGTCTAGCAAACCACCCGCCCTTTCCCTCACACGCCCACCCTTCAATCTTCATCTCCATAGATTGATTTAGATTGAGATTGGAGTGCTCTTCTTTTGAGTTATCAAGAAAAGAAACTGAAAACCCTACTTGCTAAGCCTTTTTGGTCTTCAAAGCTTCAAAGCAGAGTTTCCTGCTCGGCTAGCAGCAAGAGATCATTTTTTTTATTAGTGAGTTTTTATGAATTTCTCGATGGGAGTTTCATTACTTTCTTTTCTCTTGGAGAAACTATTCAGTTTGTTTCTATCATAATCGATTGGTATGCATTTCTTTTTTCTTCTCTTTTCAGGTGCTTAAATTTGACCAATTCACCTAGACTTCAATTTCATTCCATCAAAGCTGTTCTTATCACCCAGCAGTCTGCCATTGAAGATCCCTGCTTGCACAGGCCACTGTCTAGTATTTTCGTGTAGCTTTTCTAGCATTCTAACTATATTTGTAGTGCATTGCATCCTTTAATGTTGAACCTTATTGTTTCTGAAAAAGTTTATACTTCCAATTGAAAATACTGGCTGATTCACTGAAGAATTGTGTGGGGACTAGGGATTTCCTTCCTGGACAGGTTCATGAAAAGCCAATTTCCCTAATCCACTGCTGTGTTTTGCAACTATATCACTCCATTCGGGGTTGTTCAAATTATTGAGCAGCGGCTGCCCAGGGGAATTTAATGCCATTGGTCCTTGATTCACATTAGCCTTGCACATATTAGTAGGGTTTGAGAGTAGTTCTGTATATGGACCCTGTGGGATAAAAGAAAACACGGCAAAGTTGTAGGATAAGCATTTTACAGCTGTTATGCATATGGTGAGTAGTTAAAAGCCACCACACAAACTTTTATTTAAGCAATAAATGACTGCAGTATTCGAATCAAAATATTTGAAATGTGGCTTTTGGCAGTAGTGTTGTAAAGCTTATTCTCCGTAACATAAAAATTTGAACTGTTGAGTGACCTTGGGTCTATCGCTTGGTTATCATATATTCTTAGGTATCTGGGCATATACTGATCTTAGAGCTTGTGTTGCTAAGCCACATAAAACACCCCGCTTATGATTTGTTCCCTTCTGTGACTTTCTGGCTAGTGTTTTCTCGACCAGCCTCACTGATCATGCATTCTATAATTTAGCTTTTTCAATTACGTTTGGTAACTGTAAAATCAAAACTCATCATCCACCAGCTATACCCTAGCCTCAACCACCATTGGGTCCATCGCAGATAATAAAGTTAAACATTATCAACTCCTTACATCAAGGAAAAGAATTACTAATGATAGAAAAAAAATCATAAATTTAGGAGTACTTTATAAAACTTGATGGTAATTTTGAAGCTTCTAGAGGTGAATATAATTATTGTGAAAAAAATTATACCTGTCATACTATCTTTAATAGTACAAATAATTTAAAAGTATATAAAAAGTTTTCTTTTATGGTTTATAAGAAATAAAAAGTTTTAATATTAGAACCTTAGAAAGAGAAGGGCGAATTGAGAAATCAAAATATGAAAACTCTTAAAAGGAAATAGTTTATAAGTATAATGAATGTAGACAAACACTAGCATGAATGATTAAAATTGATTAGTTGTCTTTTAATTTTATGGAGAGTTAGGGATTTAGATTATTTTATCGGATTATCCATCCTAGATTTCATTCTTGTTTCACTGTTATGAAAGATTATTTGAAAGTTTATGTGGAAAAAAAGAAGAAGAAAGATTAAGGACAACTTTTAAGGGTCAATGAATAATTATAATTTTCATATCACTTCTAATATATATAATTATATATATATTAGAAGTGATATGAAAATCACAATTATTCAGGCCATGCACAAGTTGAATGCTATTAGCTAATAACTATCCACTAGGTTGGAAACAATGTCGTAATGATAAAGAGAAACCAAGCAAGCCTGCATCGTAAAAGTCAAAGAATCATGCATATGTTGTGAACCTAATTGATTATGAAGGAACAACAATATCGAGTGATGGCTTCAATATTTCACCCATCTCTGGTCTTACCTTGGAACAATATAAGTAGCTTACATGTTTTCTAAAAAGTTTCCCTAAGCCTCGCTAATTATGCTAATAAGCTTGATTACATATGAATTATTAATAGTGGTCCCTCTAACCATATGGTTGTTTCCAATGAACTTCTTGATAATAAAAGCTTACTATTTCAGGTTATGCTCCATTAGTATACCCAATGTGATGTGAGCTTTGTGATCATGTGGTGTGATCATGTGGTTATACAACCAACAATAAGATAATAACAAATCTTGGTAAGCTAAAACAATTTTGATCGGAATGTGATACAATGAAAATTTGTCCTAAAACATCAAAATTATTGAGAAATAAGAACCCCTATTTTACAAATATCAATTCGCGAATGAGAAATATGAAAAAGATGTCATTAATAAATTCAATAACAATAGTATTATCAAGTCTAAATATTTTGTCCTCATAAAAAGTATTTATACTCTTGAAAATAAAAACCCTAATGGATCTACCCTTAGGATTAAATTGACCTACTTATAAAACTGACCAAAACCTCTACTAATAAACCCAAAGTATGAATCCAAATAAGCCTTGGTCCATAGCTAAAAACTAATAAATAACTAAGTCTAAACAAGCCATAAGTCTTAGCTAATTAATTAAACCTAAAATTAAAAATTAAAAATTAAAAACAAAGTGTTAAAATTCTTTCTAAGCTAGTAAAACATAAAAAGAGCAAAAAAATTATAAAAAAACAATTGAAATTAAAGTATTTATAAAGCCCTATCAAGAACCTTTGTAGCCTAATCCCATACACCAGTTTAGTGCCTCAATAAACCTCATTTAGTCTCCCTTTTCTGTCCAAAGTTAACCCATTATAGGTTTGAACTGATTGGGCAAAAAATAGTCAAGAAAAAACATTTTTTCGATGAATCTATCAAAATAGTAACAAAAAGTTAGAACAATTTAAATAATATTTTATCAAACTTCGATTAACTTGAGATTTTACCATAATATATTTTCATGTGTCTAATATCTATTTATAAAATTTTAGCTTGATCCAATATATATTATAAGAGATATGCATAATCTTGCAAAATAGGCTAGTAGACATTTTAAGAAAAAGTTCAAACCTAATTTGATTCAAATCATCTCCTCCTTTTTCAAAAGGTTTTATCCTTGAATACATCACATGAAGATTGTTCCCTAAAAAAAACAAATCAGCACCAAGTTAAAATATAAAATCCTATCAAACTGTCTTGGTCTCCCTAGCAAGATGTAACTTAGAATCTATAAGTTCTATGATTTTTAATTGTATATAAGTTCAGATTACTAACAAGGTTAGTACTAGCTATATTAGTATGACTTTTATTTTTTGTAATTAAATTACACACCTTGTTTTATACATGGTGATGTATATGGAAGATGTTCTCCTTTTGTTGATTATTATCATTTTCCTTCACTTGAAGTGCATACCTTATAACTAAGGCCTCATCTTCAACTTCTATGTAACCTTATCAACAATATAATTCTCAAATGGTGGCATATCCAGACTCTATGTCTTCATTGTTTCTCAAAACCATTATTCTTGTTGTAATCCAATTTTGGATTCACCAAGATTTTCTTGAATGTTATTTTATTTCTATTATTATTCATAAAAATCCAAAAAAATTAAGAAAAAGTTTAAAATTCAAAAAAATATTTTTCTCGGGCCAATCACATCTTTCTATAAAAATTGATTCCACCGGGTCAATACGGGTCAAACCATGTCAACCAGTTTAAAAAATGAGTTTTAGGCCGTTTCGGGTCAAAATATTTTTCTCGGGCCAATCACATCTTTCTATAAAAATTGATTCCACCGGGTCAATACGGGTCAAACCATGTCAACCAGTTTAAAAAATGAGTTTTAGGCCGTTTCGGGTCAAAACTGTCATTTTCGGTCCAAACTGAGTCCACCGTATCAATACGGGTCCAACCATGCTGAGAAGGATAAAAAATGAGTTCCAAGCCATTTTGGGTCAAAACTGTTGTTTTTGGTCAAAACCCGGTCCACCAAGTTGATACCCATTGAAAGTTTTTTTTAGTACTTCAATATAATTTTTGGTAATTAAAATTGATTTTTAGCAATTGAAACGAGCTTTTTCTAATACTAATTTGAGTTTTTAGTTTTACCCATATAAATATTTATTATTATATAATAAATAAAATCAATAATGCAAAAAGTTTTGTCATAGTAGGCGGGGCAGTTGAGGCGATAGTAGGTGGGGCAATGTAGCAATGAAATTTCTCTTTAAAGCAGATTGTGTCACCATCATGAGATTTTTATGTCCCCGCATCATTGGCTATAAATAGCCTGTGAAAATTCACTAAAAGAGAAAAAAAGAAAAAAAGAGAAAAAAAAAGAAAGAGATTTGTTATTACTATTAAGTTTTTTTTTTGCTATTTATTCGCACTAGTAAAATATTAATTTTTTGTAAAAAAATTAATTTGAAAATACCAAAAATATCCTAACCATTAGATCTAATAGTATTTAGTTTTGGATTTAAAAGGATCTAATAGGGCTTACCACACTAGATTAAAACCCAAATCCATCTCAGCCTTTAAAATAATCTGCCCCTCGATTTTATCATGCCACGTCACCCGGTGTACCAAGTTATCGTTGTAATTCACCACACTACAAAAAAGATCAGTCCATCGAGACCATTCGATCAACTTGTAGATCAAGACAACAAGAGCCGAAGGATCATTTCATCCATCATCCAACGATTCACAACCTTTAGCTGTACCGGTTTGCCATGCTAATGTTCACACTTTATCAAATCTCGAAGGCTCTCTATCTCCTCTATTGGCGATTCTCTCTCTCATCTGATCTTTCACCCCTGCCAGCTTAAAGCCTCTGAACCACCACAGAAATGTTAATCGCCTCCTTTAAAGCAAAACCCATGCGGTTTTCATCGCCTTCTCCGCCTCATCTGGCTAGAAAAAAGGTTGCAATTTCTTCGACCACCCAAAGCTTCAAACCATCGATTCTTCTCATCAAACATCAACGCCCATCGAAACCACTATTATCAGAATCCTCACCCTCAGATCTACCAGAATCATCCCTTTTTAGTCGGGAATCTCACGAAAGAATTTCAGCCCCTCCAACAATGATTGCGAGTGGGCTACACACACTACAAGGGTATTTTTATAATTTTCTAAGAAATTCAAGGATATTTCATTCTTTTACCTATATGGTGGCACTTAGGTAATTTTTGGGATTCCTAATGGTGTTTTTTAATTTTTTTTTTATATATAAGTACTTGTAAAATTTTCTTTGTATGTTGTAAAACAAAAACCAAAATAAATATAAAAAATAACAAAGCGGGTCCAACATCGATCTTATCATGTCATCGTTTGTCGGTTCAAAGCTCAATTCTCAAGTATGTTTATAGCAATTTCTCAATGATACCAACATAATTTTTTTTGAATGAAGATTGTTTGTTGACACGTCTATTTTTTTTTTACAGAAAATGACCGATGTCAAAAGTTTAAATACCAAATATGAATTATGTCCATTATTTTATTTTGGTAACTCAAGCATAACTCTTGTTTTTAGGGTTAAACTTTAACATTTTATACGAGTCTTCT